CTCGATCAAGTAGTTAGACATTGCCTCGTGGTTTGTTCCGTCTTTGAATGGCAGCGACAAAAAAAGCCTGCCACTGATCTTTTCTTTGTTGAGCCATATTAACACCCCGAAGGAGAACGGGATTTTGGGGTTGAAAAGTATGTTTGAGGCCTATTGTTTGGATTTCTCGAAAAACTACTTTTCCAGCTCGCATCCCAAATCTGAGCATCCATGCTTGGTGTCCCACATGTTGGCGCTGTATAACTACTTGATCGAGCTTTGCTGGGATTGTTTTGGCGGAAGCGAAATTTTCATTGAGATTGTTGAGAAGGTTAGCATGCATGTTTGATTTTTAGTCCGTAAGGCGGCTTATCAATGGGCTCCCGGGAGCATCTGACCAAATAGCGCTGTATTTTGACTCCCTATTAATCCAATCGTCTTCTTGCTGTAAAATGCCCGAGTTCGAGGATCTCTTACATGCAGCAGTAAGGCATTCGCCCGTACCAATTAGATGATAATGTTCAAATTCTTGGATGCAAAGGAGGCCTTTAATGAGATGCATTCTAGATTGCTGGCTAAACGGCTTCTCGATGTGGCTCCTGTCAATGCAGAAAACGAGCTGTTGTTGCTTGGCCAATTGAGAGCCACCTGCGGCCATGACTACACTTCAAAAATGTTCAAGATGATTTCTGATATCAAAAAGGGGCCACACATAACTGAGGGTTTTCTCGCCCATCTTTCCTCGGCCATTTCCAAGCCGGGTTTTGATTTTTCAGTCACAATTCTGAATGCCAGGTCTTGGCTCTTCCCGTATATCTCATCAAGCTTTAAAGGGCATGAAAACGACACTTTTTTGCTTCCTTTATCTCTTCACCGTGTCGTCGCTTCGTTCGAAACATACTTTGCTGAAAAAAATCCCAAAAAGAGGCTCGCCTGGGACCATTCATTGTCAATTGGCGAGATTGAGGGGACTTTTTATGCAAAGGGAACTTGCAGAACGTATACGTTTGTTATGTCCGGCGTTCAAATGGCCGTTTTTTTAGAAATCCAGCAGAGAAGAGGAAAATGCACCACCGCTGTTGACCTTATGGAGAGGTTGAAAATGGATTCGCATAAATTCGGCTTTTCAATGCAGCCTCTGCTGTCTTGCTCCCTGCTTTTACAAACGGAAAGCAGTGGCCAATTATCAATCAACGCTCAGTTTCATAGGTACTTATGAGATTGCCACCGTTTACTGTAGTGAGTCCAAAAAGGTGATCTTTTTTTCTCCTGGCTGCTCATTTTCCGAAGAAAGGCCGATATCCCACTCCAAGTCGGCAGAAAAAATATCCGATGGTTGTAAGGAGTTTGTTCAGGTACTTTGGGGGTTTCAGCTTTAGGCTTCGACCATGCGCATCATGAAGGCCTGTAGGAGAGAGCTCCTATCAACCCTGATTCAAGAGATCCTACTGACCACGATTCCCTTTTATTTTGTCGAATCGAGCAACTTTATTGAAAACATCATCAACGGTCTTATTTCAAAGGAATTTCTGGCTTTTGACGAGTCTGATCGAAATTATATCTTGTATTGTCCATAATAAACAGCTAAATCAACTTTGTTCCAAGGGATTCCTGCACGTAACGTTGAGAAAAGTGAGCTGACCAAGTATCAAACGCAGCCTCAATACCCTGTCTAATCCTCCAAAAGAGCATACTTGGAGGGCCACTTAAATTGCAGTTGGCATTTTTACTTTGAAATTCTTAAATTACATTTTTAATTAATGGGGAATAAAGCCGTGCCAAGCATAAAGTGGACCCGTGAGCGACATAAACCATTCAAGGGCTCATCAAAATCCAAATCCTCAAAAAAAGGAAGAACAGCCAAAGAATCTTGTCAAAAGCATTCTGCAAAAGCAGAGCTAAGCAAAGTGGACCGCAAAAACGCCTCAAAGGTTGTCCAAAGACATAAAAAAGATGTACTTTTCAAGCAACGTCAGCTAAACTCGCTGGTCAAGCCCGTCATTACCATATTGGCGATTTCGGAAAAGATCACTATGCCTATTTTGGATCTTTTCGCTGCCAAAATTATTTTTTTCCCACATGGCTCATTCATTCCCAGTATTCTCGATGCAGTGCAGGTAAGTGATATTCTTCTGCTTGCAACAAGCCCAACTGATCCCTCAGATGAATGGTCAGAGGCTGTTCAGTTTTCGATCCGTCTTCAGGGCAGCCCCTCTTCAGTGGCAATCCTTGTTGCAGGTGAAGATCTCAATGTTGATCCCACTCAAATCATCAGTGAATGGGCTGCATACTTATCCGATCGCTATACTGGATCTGTTTCGGAGCGGAAAAAAAATGTATTTATCCTTCCCTCTCAGAAGCCTCAGTTGGAAGCTTTTGCTTTGAATGCTGAACGAAGAGGCTTGTCTAGACCACATAACAGAAAAAGGAATCCACCCCCATACCTTCTAATTGAATCTTCTCTCTTTGATGCTGAAAATCGATCAATGACCTTCAATGGCATTGTTAGAGGAACTCGAAGTTTCTCAGCCGACGATGCCATTGTCTTGCCTGGGATTTCATATCCCTTTTCCAAGTGGAAAATATCGTCAAACTGCATAGATTCGGATACTTTTTCCCTTTCTTCACGCGTCTTTGAAAGGTGCTCATGCCATGAAACTATGCAAGAAGAGCAAACACTATCCATGCTTCCCCATTCTATTGGCAGCCCTGGGTTTTCCAAATCAGTGTCAAGGAAGGATAAAAGCGCTGGTGAGGGTATTTCTGACTATCAATCTGCTTGGCTATGTGAGGATGAAGAATCATTCGATAGCTGCGGCGATGATGAAATGCAAATCGAGCACGAGGAAAAACACATCGATCCTTCGTCAAACCATAATCAAATGGAGGATGAGAAGGAGATCGAGGACCACTTTGATGACGAATCCAGCGATATTATCACCGTTCCTCAAGATATTTTGGCAAAGGATTTTCTTTCAGAGTAAGCGTCTAATTTCTCATTTTAGATACCGTCCTCTCCAATATTTCTCCTTTAACCAAAAGCAGCATAAAAAGGAGCATGTTTTTACAGAAATTTCCAAACCCTTAAACGGAGACCCTTCGCACCCCATATCTTTAACCATTGAGAATATTCCAACCTCAACAGATGCGTCTCAAATTTCCAATTTGCCTTATTTATGGGGAGTGCCCGTGCTAACATGTCCTACTTGCAGAGGTATATCAGAAAAGCAATCAAAGGTTATCTTTTCCGTTAAACTTGCCTCCTCTACACCGCTGTCTAATGTGGATGGAATTTTATCCAATTGCCTTAATGTCCAAATTGGGCCGTGGAAATCCACAGTCAAAGCCAGCTATACAACGGAGCATAGGAGTTATGCTGGAGGCCTTCCATTTTCATATCATCGTTTACTACGATCCATTCCAAAATACCAGTCTTTCTTTGTCCACATCGAAACCCCAGGCGCAGAATCAGGTGTGCCTCTTGATGTTTCGTCTTGTTATCTACCTGTCATCATTTATGGCGAAAATGGACTGCCCATCGCAACTGGAGATATTATTTCAAAGTCTCGCATTCCAATCGCTTTACTTCAGCGAGTAACGCTAGTGGGATATCCGTATAAGATTCACCAAAAGTCAGCAGTAATTCGCGGAATGTTCCACTCGGCCGAGGATGTCGAATATTTCTCTCCCATAGAAATCGTTGGAAAGGCAGACAATCAAAAGGGGTACATTAAGGAGTCTCTTGGCACCCATGGTCTTATGAAAGTGTCTTTCAATCGTACAATTGCTAGACAAGAGCCAGTATTTATGCATGTTTACAAAAAAGTCGAATAATAAATTATGCTAATTTAAAAGAGGGGTCAGCCGAGAATCGAACTCGGGACCTCTCGCACCCTAAGCGAGAATTATACCACTAAACCACTGACCCTCAACTTTTTCGTAAAAAAAGTGTATAAATTTACTTATAAAAAGGTCATTTCACGAAACCAAACCATATTTCGACTTTTTGCTGAGAAAACAATTTTAATTGCATAATTAAACCCTTAAAATGTCATAAATAAGATCAACACAAGTCTCAACATCTTCGAAATGCGCCGCAAATAGTAGCCGGCTCAAGGTCAATTTAAATCTTTCAGTAAATGGCGAAAGTCTAAACAGGCCGAAAATACAGGCGGATAACGCATGTTTCCGTCCAGATGGACTGAATAAATGCAATATGATCGATTTCCTTAGGCAACAAAATAAAAACGAAATGGGCAAGGTAATGTTTAAGTAGTTGCAATAATGGACAAGCGATGCGACGCTGCAGAATTTGCACCGTTCATCTGGAATTTTAAGCAAAAAAGAGGCCTCCGATTCAAAGTAAAGATGATCTTGATATAAAAGCGCGAGAAAGGAATACTCCCAACATTCAGGAACGATGACTTTATTGCCTGTTTTGGCAAAATAATGAAGAACTGTAGAATTCCCAATCAGTGTCCCCTCAAATGCAAACCCCAAGCTGGTGCTGGGATCCTCAAAAAGTTGCTGAAAGTTTTTTGCCAAATATAAAGATAGCAGAAAGAACCGAAATTTAAGATCAAGTCGATGATGGTAAGCTGCATATGGAAAAGCAAACGAGGAAATTGAAAGGCCAAAATTTCTTTCAATCGATTTTGAATACTCAACAATGGACCGGAAATTTTCCGGTATAATTTCAGCGCTTGATCTCAATTTGATCACAATAGGCCATAACGTAAAGATCTGCAAGTCCCCGGGTTTGCAATAGCTCCACAAGATGAGAAGCGATTGGGCGAATTTCTCGTTTAAATTGCCATCTTCGATCGATTTAAAGGCAATCAAGGATAGGCAACAAAGCAATTTCCCGCGCGTAGATACATGGCAAAAATTAATCCATTCGATTTTATTTGCACCAAGACGAAAAAACGATAGTATACCCTTAATATGAATGCAGGTTTCTGTACAATTTGCCTCGAGTATGTCTTTTTGGTACGCATCAGGGGAGAGAAAAGATAAGCAAGCATCAATGATGTCCCTAAGGATATAACAAAGTTCGTCTTGCGACTGAAGTAGCCATTCAACACCACCAGAATACATAAATAACGGACACAGAAGGTCCAATGTACTCATCAGGTTCTTTTGTTTATATTGCTTAAGCAAGCATGAAAGGCCGTTTTTTAACCAAACCTGTCTATAGACCTCCAATGAAGATTTTCGAATAGCTTGCAAAACAGAAAATGAAGCTGCCATTAGAAGAGGATTTTCAATTGCTTCTTCAAGCAAATGCAGCATGAATGGAAGAAAGAAAAGGAAAAAATCGTGCTTTGATCTGATAAGCTCGCACAATGTAGACGCAAGCAGTGAGCAGGATGCCGACGTTTGAATTATTTTCGGAAAACAGGCTTCAAAGGACAGCTTTAGCAGTTTGGCAGTGGGTTTGTTAAATGGTATGCGACACAACAAATGCTTGATTATCAATAGGGACTCGTAAATGGATTTTTCTTCAACTCCGGTATTCCCGATTAGATAGTTACACGCCACAGAAAAGATATCATTGCATATGAAACACGGAACCAAAGACACCGTATTTGAATGCATAAATTTTACGAGCGTTCCAAGCACCGACACGGACTCGGCTCTTTTGCACACGCCATGATGTGGAGTTGATAATGTGCTAGCAACCAAACGAATTGGGCTCTTACAAGTATCATATGACAGCAGCCCAACAAGCCAAAGAAAATAAGTGGCTTCATTGACGGTAAAGATATGGTTGTTTGAAAAGCTCAGTTCCAAAGAAGAGCAGAGCATTTCCTCTAGTTGAGAAAAGTTTGAAAATGCATCGTTAATGAGTCTAGATGCTAGCAAAGATTTTGTGCAAATCTGCGCACGAATTCGGATACGATCACAAATAGACTGCTGGTACAGCGAGAGGGATAGCAGTACATTTGCCTCGTCCACATCGAATTCCCTGGGCATCAGCATAGGTAAGCCACGGGCTGCATATAAATGATGAATGATATGCAGAATTGCTCTAGTTTTTTTTTCCACTCTATGCTTTTTGCTTGCTTCAAGACAGTACGTTGTGTCTAAAGAGACTTTGATGGATAATAGAGATGCCATTAATGAGTCAAAAAAGCCGGGATTTTTATACGTGGAGAGCTTTTCTTTTTCTTCAAATGTGGCAATCGTTACAAGAGTTCTGAGCGATAATTCCTTTGATGCATACTTGGATTTCTTGGCTTCAATTGACATAAACCTTGGTGACCATTAAAGTGCAAATGTAAATTTATAAAATAAAGTGAAAATTCTTGCAAATCCAAGGATCCGTCGTCATATAGCCCCTCTGGATTTAAAGTTTACATATTTTGAAGCGTAAATTTGCCACTCCTCTGTTGCCTCATCATATATCTGCAAGATACTCGTTTGTCCACAATAGAAATCGATAGCCATTTACCTGGAAATTCAGCCCATAAAAGCAAGTGATGCAAGAATTCATTAATGAACCGCCATTGAATGGTTTCAGTTGCGACGGATAGTAAATTTTAACAGATTAGGTTCTATTTATACCTTGGGATTTGTTTGTTTGCTTTTTGGTTTCAAATCGCCAGAAAAAGTATCAAATTCTCTGCTAATAGACACCTTATGGCGGATATGTACAGAAGACACAACAAAGATCATCTACGAATAGCTTTCATAGAAACATTAGCAAGATCCAAGTCTTACTTATCCAAGAAGGGGTTTCTAATCCACCAAATCTCACTTGCGCTAGCTGAGAAAGCACAGGGGCAATTAGCTTCATTTAATAAAATTTAACCGAAACTAAACATGTGCTCAGCCCAACCCTGGCCATCCGCAGTATAGAAATACGCTCGGCTAGCAGTTTAATTGGCATATTAAAACTTGGCTCTTGTAAAGTGTAGCCAAATCACAGCAAGTTTAAATGTTCAATTTGCTCTTCATATATCACACTCATCACATGCCGATAGGGCTTCATTTTAATGGCACTTTAATTAAAAGTTTGCATTTCACGTGACAAGGATACACCTCCTGTTTTTTCACCCAAATGAACACGATCAAAACACTCAGCACCCTTGCACTCATATTACTTGTACGTAGCGTACTGAGCAAAATTTTGAATATTGAATATCTTTGCAACTTCATAGGAGACAAGTTTATTCCGGAGGTATTTAAAGGAGAAGAGCCAGTAGCTGTAAACAAGGCCATGAAAACAATATTTTCGCTTTCTAAAAATAATTTACTGAATCAAGAATACGCGATTAGCCCAGAGGTCTACGATAAGATTATGGACACCATTCTACAAGTCTCCAATTTCAATCCATCAGATGTTTACAAGAAGGTACAGGATCTGAAAATCTTGCCATATGATACCGAGCTAAGAGCCTTTGGAGATCAGACCAAGTCTGTTGTTTTCTTTTGTGGATATACAGGACATGCAATGTTGTGTGAAATTTTCAAGGTCGCCTCTCCTGATCCCAAACATGAGCATTTATGGAAGGTCCTCATTTACAACACTGGCGGTGGATTAAAGCATCACCCATGGTACCATGTTGGTCCAACGATAAAATTTTCACCAGTGGTCGTATATGAAGGTCCTCCATTTCTTATCAATGAAAACTGGATTGAGGCTGCATTGAATTTTGGCGAGTATAAAAAGGTTATCACGAACTTCTATCCCAGACTTTTCGGCGATTTTGATCGATCCAATGAAATTTATGACGTTTTTATTGATCCACAAAGGGGAGGAACATGTGCTTTTTCATCTTATCACGCATATTTTATCTTTAAGCTTAAAAGGAAAAACTATAATGAGATCTTTGCAATTGCATCTTTAATTGCGCTGCAGCATTTTGTATCTCAAAAAGATCCTGATTTTGTTTCAGAAGAATATCGCACAAAGTATGCCTTTTCTTCTAAATCGAAGCTAAGGCAATCAAGTGAAAGCCAAGAAGACGCCGAAAACTTTATCTACAAAGCATTATTATCTGATAAAAATGTTTTAAATGAAATCGAAAGGTTTCACTTTTTAAGATGGAATTTTGATTTGGTTGATACGATGTTCAAATATCTCGTTGAAATTGGCAATTGCATTTCATGAAACGAAAGTTTGAATTATCGTTGGTGTCTTTTCCTGTCCTTTTAGCTAACCTTCATATCATTGCTAGTATTTCTTTTCATTTTCCATAAAGACTAGCGCTGATTAAATGAAGAGCGAAATGCAATGAAAGCTATGAGAAATATGCTTTTTTGAACTTCCATTGAGTTGACAATTTGGGAATGAGATTTTCTGGCTTTTATTTACTGTTTTGCACCGGAAATTGTGCATCCAGTGAAAATGTTAAATTCAATAATTCCGGATCTGCGAAATTAAACTCCCAAAATTTAATTACCCGTCTGTCTTACTTGCGTGCTTTATGGTCCAGGTAATAAACGATTTTCAAGATGGTTGAAAATACGGAGTTAGGGGCGAACTTTAGCATAGCCTGCCTTAGCTAAAGCTCAATATTCACTCCAGATCTAAGCTTTTCTAAATTTTAGATTGGTCAGTCAACCTATTAAATAGTCGAATTAGCTGGCTGCAATCGTCAATCGATAATGCCTCAATAAATTGATCCCAAAAGTGATGAAGATTCTTTCTGGATCAAAGACTGGAGTTTGATCTAGAATCAACTTACCCCTAAACTAGGATAAATTAAATCTTTGGCTGAAGATTAAAAATTGCGTCGCGACCCCTATGGCAAGAATCAAAATGTCGCCTTTCTAATAGTGTGATAAACCCCTAGCCTTGACCCGGGTGGTAAGTTCAATGCAATTCTGATTATCTGCACCATTTACCTTTGATGGGGATCTGTTTTGCTTCAATACATGAAGAACATCCTTAGCCGAAAGACAAAATGTCAAAACGGCACGAATTGCAAGTACGGCAACTAGGCTTTCAATAGTCGTAAAAGCCAAGTATTAAGTATTTATGAGGTGCACAAATCTAGTCAATTAATAATCAAGCAGTTCTGGCCGTTTATATATCGGTTTCGAAACCATAAAGTGCACCTGGGCATAATCGCACAGATTCTTTCAGGGGTGGCTCAAAAGCACCGTGCATCTCATGGTACTTGAGGGCCCTGGAAAGAAGTGTAGGAGGCGGATATTCTCTTTTGTAGCTGCTAGTTCTTAGACCACTTTCAAGAGGATGTGTTTTCGTATCTTTCATCATACGATAGAGGGAACCTATCCGTGACATTTCCATGACCTTTCTACGCCATGGTTGTACCACGTTCCTATGATAAGCGTAGAACACAGATTTCTCTACGTCTTTGTATTTGCTGAGAACGTGTAGAATCTGCGGCGGCAGCAAAAGATAATATCCTGCTAATGCTGAATATAATGCCGTTGCCGTTGATGTTTGTCTCAGCGACGCTACAAGAGCCTCCAGTTGTACAAGTTTCCCAAGCATCAGAAATACAGAAAGTGCAGATATTTTTTTCTCTCCACGTAGGAAAATACCTTGTGGCATTCCTTCATAAACTAAGCTCTGATCAGAATAATCCATTTCTCTGACCCAGCGTTTTGAACTTTGTATAGCTAGTCGTCTTAGGCGACTCCGGAAAGCTGCCTCGCCCTCTGCGAGCATGCTTTTGACCCCAGCCACAGTAATGAGACATTTACTAGCTGGAAAATACTGCCTCAAAACATCCATAGCGACAGGGAATATATTAGCAACCTCGCCCTCTGTTGGCACATTAACAAAGGCTGTTGAAGATATATCAAGCAACTGGTTAAATGCGTCTTTTAAGGCAACCGTGAGCCATAACATGGTCAGTTTTTTTGTCATTGATGCAGGCATCCGATAGCGGTGCATCAACGGAAAGGCATTTCTGTATGTTTGGATAACTTCAAACTCCGCTATGGTCTCGCCGACAATCCGAAGCAGCACAACGACCGTGACCTTAATCAGGCTTTTGCGGATATTCTCCAAGGATTGCTTGCTTATATAAGTTAACTGGGCATCAAAAATACATTCATGACAGCTAGACGAGGAGACTTTACGGAATTCAGCTGAAGCACAATACCTACATTGCACAATGGCTTCATTCGGTAATTTGGGGTTATAGCGCCCAATAGCGAGCCCATGTGCTGGAACAATCAGCGCAGATCGAAAAAAGATTACAAGATTCGCAAGAAAACTGGTCCAAAACAGACGTTTGGCGACATCGCCTTTATCTGAATTCAGTGAACGCTGAATGGCGGGGAGTACGCGTTGCACAAGAAAGACAGCCATCCTATTGACGAGACCAAAGCGCCAGAGTAGCTCGCAGCGCTGCGCCACAATAGTCCATGGGAAAAGGGCCACCGCGTCATCATTTGAAAGCCTTGTCGCCATTAAAAACTGATGAATCGAGGTGATTCGAATCAGCAGCCAATCAGGCATGGATTCACAGCAACTTCCACTTCTTTCACAAGCCTTAGAGCCATTATGAATGAAATTTATTGGTAACCCAATCATCTATGCTTGATCATCCATTGTTGAGGAGAGAGTAAAAAGGCGTTGGATCGGCCTGTGGATACTGCTCCAAAGCATCTAATCGCGCTTGAAGCATTGAATCACACAGAAGCGTCTGAAGTTCTCTAATCAATAAAATTTCGTCGCTATACCTATGTTGATGAGGCGATAAATTGACACATGTACCTGTAGCATTTTGCAGCAAGGAGATACCGTCCTGCCATTGCATCTACGAGTTGGCGTTGATGATCATCTGCCAGCCGCGCATTTGCCATCACGATAAGTGACCGGCGTGCTCGCAACACTTCTAGAATGCTTCCCGCGCCTATATTCAGCTAGGAATGGTACCGCAATGCGAAAGGGTTAGTGTTGCATGTTCTATCCATGCAGCGAGGCTAGGCGCATAGGAAAAAACTACATCCAAACAAAAAACATACTTTGGATCTCAATGGTCGTTCCAGGCACAGTAAAAACCCGGATGCCCGCTTTCCCGTCATTAGACGCTACATTCGACGTTACAGAATTCTTCTCGCTAGTTACTTGAACGTGATTTGTAATTTCCCTGGCATCTAGCAGGGCGAGTGGATCGGCAGGAAAATAACTGCCGGTCTGGATGATAATACGATCGATGCCTAGATTCTGATAAAAGCCCGTGTGCAATATTTGATGATCTAGCGCGGCTTGGATGAGCTCATCAAAGCGTGTAGAGCCAACAGTTACAAACGCGCTCCGCATTCTGCAAAATCAAATTGTAAATTTAGGCATGGAACGAGCTAGCAATGGACTCCAATATATGACTGCTTACTTATTAAGATCGCATCAGTGACAGGTTTTAAATGTCAGCTTAGCTTTTATTAACCAGCAGCGGGTCTCTATTTTGGCTTACTTTTTCTTTTTTCCTCTTTTGGGAACCCCGGCTGCGCGTGTCAGACCGCCGCTTTTCGACCGCTTAAGGTAGGGATTAAGGATGGAAGCAAGTCCCGGTGGGCTATCGCTGGATGCTGCCATTCCATCCGCAAATTCCGGTGGCGTAATCCGCTGAAACGGTCGTTTGTCTACGTTAATTCCATTGCTCTCGGCTTGTTGGCGGTCAGAGAGACGTTTCAGCAACCTTTGCTTAATCTCTTCTTGCCGCAAAAGCAGTTGTGTCTCAACCGAAGAGTCAATGGTTGTGGTCTTGTCAGAAGCCAAAGCGGCAGAAGTCGCAGAGAGAGATGAATCCTGCTCTGTCTGGGCTGTGATTGATTCTATTTCGGGCTGATCTGTTTCTGAGGACTGGAAATCGTCAACTGGCTCACAGACCGGGCTAAAATGTGTAGGGGGGATGCTGTCAGCAGGGGCTGAAAAATCTGGAAAATCTGGAGGCTGAAAGTCGCTGAGAGGATGGATGGAATCTGGTGATTCCATATGGCCAGGTGTCGATATCGATAATACTTTGGCATTTTCGCGCTCTGGGGCCAAGTGTTCAATACTTTGATCGCGTTCTGCGGCTGAGTGTTCAATACTTTGATCGGGCTCTGTGTCAACAACAGGCTGTGGTAAGGATAAAGATTGTGTAGTGGATTTGGGCTCAAAGGTAGAATTCGAGCTTGGCTGAAAAGAAGGCGTTAAAGACAAAATCGAAGACGTGGAGGCCTCGGGAACAGCATCTGCAGCAGGGTTAGATTGGGAGGAGACCGCTTCTTGACCCTCAATCGATGGCTGGTCCTGAGAATTTTTCGTAGCCTCAGATAGCTCCATGGTGAGGTGCGCGAGACGCTGTTCTAAAGCAGCCTTTTCATCGAGAAAGCCTTGCTTGAGCACACGATATTTTTCCAAGATAGACTCGATACGTTGCGACTTGAGGCGCAGAGTGTCCTCTAACCCTGCCATCTTTTCGCGCAGGCCTTCAAGCTCTGCATCTTTGGTTTCACCCAATGACTCTCTCTCGACAAGTTTAGCTTCTCGCATACCAAACTCTGAGATCCGCTTCTGAAGCGCCGAAACTTTTTCCCGCAATGCAGATACTTTAGCATCGGTCTCTTGGAGCTTGGTGCTTTTTTCACGCAAGTTCAACGATACAACTTCTAGCTGTGCAGTTTTCTCCTTGAGCTCGGCCTCTTTTTCATGGAGTGTAGCCTCAATATGTTGGACCTGATCACGAAGTAGCATGTTCGAATCAAGGATCACTCTGAGTTGCGCTTGAAGCTCGACGGCATTTCCAGCAACATCTTTAGCATCGTCGCGCCGCTGGCGCGCTTCAGCCAGGGCAGCCTCTAGCCGCCTAACTGCCATTCGTAACCGCTGTGCCTCTACCTCGAGAGCAGCAATTTCTAGCGCGGCAATCTCTGTGGAAAAGCCACTTCCAGATCGATGGGGTCCGTTTTCATTCTTCGTGGCCGCAACAAGGGCGCGGGAGGCAGCCTCAGCAGCATCTCTCTCGCCTGCCACAGCGTCTATGGTGGCGCGAAGCGTTGTAGTTTCCGTCTGTGCGTCTGCAAGTTCACTCTTGGCCTGAGCTAGTGCAGCAGCATGCTCACGATCACGCACCAGAAGCGCTGCATGTTCACTGGCAAGAAGGCTATGAGTGCGCCGCGCCTCGTCTAGCTCTTCCCGAAGCCGCTCCATGGTGGCGCATTGCTCCATAGAAAGTCTCTCTGAGCGCCTATAGGCCTCAAGATCATTTTCGTAGCGTTTAACAAGTGCCTCTTGAATAGAAATACGTTCATCCTGAGCAAGCGCTTCTTTTCGTGCTGTTGCAAGCTCTTCTTGCAATTGGAGAACTAAATCTTCTGAAGCACGAAGGTTAGTTGCCGCTTCTGCTTGTGCTTCACGCAATGCCATTGCCTCCTCTGCCATACGCAAATATTTGCGCGCCAATTGCGGTGCGCCTGATGGTGCTTGGCCTTTGGGCATCGCAGAGTCCTTGGTATCCGAGTTTTGAGATGCGTCATCCCCATATGGATATGGCTCCACATGAAATGGAAAGGAATCCCGACTAGATATTGTAGGTTCTCGATGAGACGGAGATAAGGGAATATCATCTAGCATGCCCTTGTTTGGTTGTCGTCCGAGGACAAGATCAAGACGGCCCTCTGTGGCTTCCAAGCGACGTTGGCTTTCAACCAGCTCGGCTTCTGCAGTGGCGAGGCGTCCGCGCAGAATTTCTATTTCTCGCTGTGCATTCATGCGTTCTTCGCGAATTAAAGCCTCACTTTCAGTGGAGCTACGTGTCGTGGCTCTAACAAGTCTTTCAGAATCGCTGAGTGAAGCGCGAAGCGCCGCCTCAGAGTCCTCCAGCATCTGTAGCCTACAAGTAGCATCCTGCCTTTCGGCCGCATATGCATGCTCTGCATCAGCAAGTCTGCGTTCCAGTAACGAGAGTGCAGTGTGGAGAGAAGCTCTTTCTTCTGCATGTCCTGTCGCCATAAAAGCGATAGAAGATTGTGTCAGTCGAAGCTCGGCTCCGGTAGCCGCAGCCTCTGCCTGTAACGCTGCAGCTGCAGCCTTTGCATCGAGTGCTGCACGTTGTACATGCCCCAATTCAAGTCGCATCGATTCTGAATGTGTAAGTGCATCATACAATGCGTCCCGTAGTGATGCGGCATCTTGGTCACGTCGTATTAGAGCCGCTTCTAATGAAGCAACATTTTCATCACGTCGAGAAAGCGCTACCTGCAACGAAGAAAGCTCTTCTTTCAGAGTTGCAATACGCCGCTCCAGCTCCGAAGATTTCGCAGACTGCAAAGCCAAAATATCCGAAGATGGTTTCGGAGAATCATTCACAGCATTGACAGAGAAATTGTTGCGAAGAGATGACTTTTCGTCTATGCTGACCTCTGTATCCATGGACGATCCAATGGGAACGTCTCTACTTGCTGCCGAAGCAGCTATATTAGCTTGAGTGGACTCAAGGGCGGCTGAAAGCTTATGGACTGTTTGCAAGAGCTCGCTGTTGCGTTCTTGCAGTTCGGAAATGTTACGAAAAGTGGCACCTTGCTGAGGTTCATGCTCTGCAGGGATACCTTCAATCTGGGACAGCAGTACGCGCACTTGTCGCTCGAGGTCCATAATATAGGCACGTAGCTGACGGCCTTCTCGCTCCAGCTGTTGTCTTTCTGCGCTGACCACCTCCAGCTGTGCTGCTGCTGTTTGGCTACTCTCCAGCACTTCTTCAAACTCTATTGCGAGGGCATCGAGGCGCTGGCGTGCCCTTTCGCCCTCTGCAAGCTGTGGTGCGTGTTCCTCCAGAGAAGCTGCTACGGCTGCAAGACAGGCCTGTAATCTGCTACCCTCTGCTTGCTCTGCAGTAAGCTGCGCCGCTAGAGCCATGTTTTCCATCAATAATTGTGCATAAGAGCCCTTTTGGCCGTGGGAACCTCCTGTTTTGTTTCCAATTGCGGCATCTTGATTACGTTCGTGTTCAAGGTCAACAGCAGCGAGAAGCGTAGCATGTGTGGCTTGTAGTGCAGTATGTGCCTCTTGAAGTGCCTCGAATCGAGCCTCAAGCTGTGTGTTTGCATGTGTGAGGGTCTGTTGCTCTGAAAGAATTCGCGCGCTTTCCTGTGCCTGCTCTTCCATTTTGACGGTGAGGGTATTTAGCGAGGCGCGAGCCACGCTTGCCATTCTTCGTTGAGTCTCCAGTTCTGTGGCAAGCAAAGTGCGCTCTTCAGAATCTTGCGCATGCTGTTCCATAAGTCGCCGCTGAAGTACACCATTCTCCATTCGGAGGCGATCAAGATCTGCCTCGAGGGCGGTGGCTCGGCGCCGCTGTGCGTGGCTTTCCCGTGTCGCAGCCTCCAGTGACTCTTCTAACACCGGAATATCTGTGATGCTGCGCTGCATGGATGCCATTTGTGTTTTGAGGGCCATGAGCTGATGAAGAAAGCCCGTGTCTGTGCAAAAGCCGTCGATTGCGTATTGCCGAAGTTGTTGCAGCTCAAGGGCAGAACCTTGCATCATTGGCATATATTGTGGCACATCTGATGCTAATTTTTGTGCCTTTTTTTGGCCTTCATTTGCTGCGTTTAACAATCCAGATAGGTCTGAAATGGAATCACATGGTATCAAAGATGGCTCTGGACTAGCTTCTGGGGCCAAAGCACTTTGGGTGCCGTTGTTGGAGGCTTTAAACAAACTTAACGCATCTTCTGGTGTAAAGGTCGCTTCAGATACGCTCTTATTCGCTATATACTGATCGTGGGCATATCCGGGGGTCCCGGGACTGCCATTGCGCTCTATGCCCATTGCGCTTATTAAATTTGGTCCACAATTTAATTTTACTGATTTTAAGTTTAATGCCCCCTCCCTCCCTCCTCCCTTTCTCTCCTCATCGGATGGGCGGCTGCGGTGCGTCCGACACACGCTCCTTGAGCTGCCAGATTGCTCGTTGTGCGCATTTGCATGCTGAAAGTGTCCAGTGGTCGTCTGGGATGCCACATGTGCATTCAATCGGCAGTGTGAGATAGAGCTGTAATGCCTCCACAAGCGCGTTGTTCGCGAATGCAGAGCGCTCCAGCACACGCTGTGACAGAATAAAGGACAGCAGGTCATCATGAAAGATCACCTGGGCATGACTGCCCATCGTGGCCAGACTGAGTTGTTGGAAGAAAGCCGCCAGTGCTGATGGGGAGTTTTCATCAAAGTCATCGTCCTCTTCTTCATTGGAGGACAGAATCGTTGCCGACGATGTAGGTTCAGCATACTGGTTAAGAATAGAGGATAGCGTAGAACACGAGGAGTTTGATCCAATCGAACACATGCTATTATCACCACTGTGTAAACCGGCTAAAAGGCGGTGATGAGGATGAAAATTTTCATCATTCTGAGAATGTGAGAACACGGTCCTACCGTTGGCCTGAAAATAGTTGTCCTCATCCTGTGCGGATCTTTGCGCGCCATTGAGAAGCGCCCGTGCCTGACCGTGCACCTCACGCTCAAAGAGTGTCGCTTGCGTCAAAGAAGTAAACGAAGATGAGCCAAGGCTCGACCCTGAGGAGGTGGACACCGGAGATGACGTAAATTGCATCAAAGATATCCCTCTGTGCGAGGCAGGTGTAGACGATGCCTGATTATCACTTCTACGTGCAGAGAGCAGCATTAGCTGCTGTGTATCATCCTGGATGACCATTGCAGACTCAATCGCTGGCGACGGTGGTGGGGAAAGCCTCATACGATGGAGCCTTATTGGTGCAAGCTCATCGTTCAGGACAACCATATGATTGTGGTTCGTGCCGATGGTCGATGAGGCCAAAAGATTTGCAAGTGGATGTGTGGGTGGTCGGGTCTCCTCCTGCTCCATCAATACCACTGAAGAGCTTCTTCTCCGTCTCTCTTCTCTCTGGGCGAATGATGTCTCTTCGGGCGGTCGCATTTCATTAAAAGAATGCATGCATCTCATTACTGTCTCCTCTTTTTCGGCCAATTAAAAGGTGCATAATTAGAAATTTCCTTTGAGCCAATCGAAGCCTTTGGCCCCATATGTGAAGCCAATTAAAATCTACATCCGTTAATTTACCAATTTGAGAGCAATTTTAGTGATCCATCATGATAAATTAGCTCCAATGGGACATCACATTTTAGCCAATGCTAGGCGTAAATAAAACCTACCTAAACGGCAAAATATTTCAAGTCGATCAAAGTATAAATACACGTTACATGTTATTTATTATTCGTGCATTCGAGAAATCGGTTCAGTGCGTATTCAAAATTGGCCGCCCGAGCGTTCTATAGTTATGAAAAGGATATGAACACATACATCTACGGGCGTATTTCCATAAACGTCCTTTTTTTGCAAGGCTTTTTCAAGCGCCGTGGGAGATCGAAACGCGTCTAAGATAATGTCAAGCAGTGCCGAGGAACAAGCCGATGGAAGGCGCAGCGCAATCTACCGTATTTATTGCAATAACGATACCACGTGAAGAATGGTACGCTGCTCCATATCAAATGCCATCCCCAGACTTATATTTGTCTTGCAAATAAGAAGTACCAGGGCGTTCTTCTTTGCACGTATTGCTCTAATGGTAGGAAGGTTATTGGACATTGGAAGTTTTGTACCTTGACAGAGCGGAAAGGACTAACATTTGAGACTGTTGGTTGATAATTCCCCCAGTATTCATGATTAGCTCAGATGTTTTGATATGCCCCTTTGTAAGAGCAAGTGCCAACTAGATAAAGTTAAAAACGATACCATTCTTACCGGGGTTCGGAATTCATCATCAAGAGTGTGAACCGAGAGGCCGTTTTGGAGCAGGAAACAAACGGTTTCTGGGTTTCCTAATGATGCAGCAAGGTGCAGAAGAGTCTTTGTGGACTTTTCTCCTCCAATTGGGAGAAGAATCCAGCGAGAAAACAAAATTGGGAACTCTTGCTGGATATTTTGAAGGACCTTGACGGCACCTTGAGAAACTAGCCGCTCAAAAACAGCAGGAACAATGATAGATTCAGAGTCCTCGTTGGTTGCCTTGACACACAGCTTTAACAAATGCTCCTCATCTCCCAAAATAGTATGCGTTTGCTGGTGGTCATGTACCGAATATATTGGTCGAGTGATCGGCATCGTCAACTCGCCACAAAGGCTTGTTCCTAAAAGCTGACGGATTTTTGACATCGAAAGATGTGGAGATTCCTTTCCCAACAGATAAGCCAGCTTCGTAATGGCGCACTCAACGGTCATATCTCCTCCAGGGACAATTCCAAATGAGGAGAGAAAGCGGCCGGTTTCATATAGCTCATTTTGGACGATTCCCTTCCCACATTGGCTTATGTTTATAATCACAACATCTCTTTCTGCTGCCTCTTTAAAAAGACGAAGAAGTTCTGGGCGATTTGTCGGTGCATTTCCTGTTCCAAATGTTTCCAGAACAACGCCACGAATTGGGGGCTTTAAAAAGGACTCAACCACCGGCGTCGGTATGCCCGGAAATAGACGAAGGATAGAGACGTTCGGATTAATGTTCTTCTGGACATTAAATTTTGACATCGATGAAGGCTTAATAACTGCGCTCCAATCGACACCTAAAATTAATAAGCGATTTTACGAATATCAACGCCCAATTCTGCTAACGGAGTCATGTTGTGGGACGAAAATGCATTGAAATCCATGGCGTTGAATTTTGTCACCCTATTGCCTCTGAAAAGCTTGTTTCCAAAAAGAATGGTGACTTCTGGAATGCAGTACTTTGAAGCGATGGTCATGGAACCAATAAAGTTGTGGAGAGCATCGTTTCTAGGTTCGGCCAAAGGTATCTAAAAGGTCAGAAAAAAATCCACCTGTGAGCCTGTGAAAACCACGGTCTTGCCCAAGTTTTCGAGCAAAAAAGAAAGTGCAGATGCCGTATAGGCCATCGTATCAGTCCCGTGTAAGACCACAAAAGAATCAAAATATGGATAATAAGTTTCTATGTCGCAAGCAATGGAAAACCAATCATCCATGTTCATGTTAGAAGAATCCAACAAAGGCACATGCTCCAATATCTTGTAAATTACCCTTTGCTCTAAAATGGCGTCATCATCTGACGAAGCAGAGACTGAGGACGAAAAAATTGTCTCCTCTCTGCTTTCGTATGGTGAGGGTAGTACAAGCCAAGGCGACAATGTGGTTTTCTCTGGAAAAACATGATGTTCAGGCCCCAAGTACAATTTGTCAGACGGAGATTCGTAGCCTCTGTGGCTTGAACAGATCCAGCGCAAAAACTTTTGGTCATTGGCTATGGAGAGATTGGAGAGCTCGGAATAAAAATATCCTGGAGATGGGATGTATCCCTTATTTTTTGTCCACTTCATCCCAATAGTACCGCCGGTATATATGACGAGAATTTTTTTAAACGAAAATTCCATCGCTTCATCCCCGTTAAACTCCGCAGTGTCATGTTCTGAAGAGCAGCTCATTTAATTTAATATTTGAAGCGAATAAACTTAAACGATCTACTTTGATTGGAGAAATTTGGCATGTTTTTATTAAATTAAACATCATTGGACGAGACTAGTAATTACAATTTTTTCCCAAATTCGTATGTGGTTATCATTATTGCACATGCGGGCGCCACTTTTGTAACGCGAGGAGAAAGGCCTAGTATATTTAAAGCCAGAAATAAAAATACCCTTAAAAAGCCCAAGAACCCCTTCATGATGATATATTTCACGGAAAATGGCAGTCAAGCTTGAGGCCCGTCTTTCCAACACCTGCCTTCTTGTCTTTGCAACATCAAATGGGGTCGTTAAGAATGCGGCAAACGCGCCAGAACAGAATCCACTCATGAAGGATGCCTTTAATTCTGAATTTGGAAAAAAATCTTTCGCCGTTTTGGCTTTCAGAGCCTCATAACCGAGCCAATATATTGAAGAAAATGGGACATCTCTCCAAAGGGTGGGAATAAGGCCTCGCCAAAGTGTCCCAATCCCTTTTTTGTTAATTTCAACGGAGAGACTATAAATTGTCTCTTTCAGAGACCTGAAATTTGAAATGCTTAGGGCCTGTGTCCTGGTCCGGACCAATTCTAATGGCGAAACAAGAGAAACTGCAATGGCTACAAATAAGTCAAACAGCTGGCTTTATACTTCTTGAAATTGCCCCGCTAAATAAAATAGCAAAAGAGGTTGAGAAATCATTGGACATCCCATAAGTGGCAAGGAGATTGCAAGACTTGGATTTGATTATTTCAAATCCCAACAAGTATGCGGTCGTCGATGGCACTGTCATGAGCCTAAGGTTTACACAAAGAAAAGCTACAATGCAGGGACAAGGCCTCTCCATAGAGAGAAGATCCCTTCATTTTTCAAAATATGGGTCATTCCGCCCTAAAATGATACAAAAATAACACACCAATGTGCCACCAGAAGCTCCTAAGGATTTACTAACAGCATGGTATGAAGTTTGCGGTAAGATGCTTGGAAAGCATAGATTAAGTTGAGACAATGGTGAAACTTTAAGGCTAGAGCTTGTGGGGCGATGTTGGAGCTGTAGCCTAACTTTGACAACATCAAGAGGCGTAACTATCGGCATTAAAAATGATACCAAACCAACTATAGAGGTTATGATGGCAGCTGTCGTAGATGCAATGATCCGCCGAAGTATGCTAGGCTGACATTCGTCCATTAAAAGTAATAAAAAATTTAAAACCACATTCAACCAAAAAGAATGCGTCAGCCGGGAATCGAACCCGGATCTCATGCTTGGAAGGCAGGAATGCTAACCATTATACCACTGACGCACAGTCCTCAGAAAAAATCAATTATTTTCTATAATTATTAAATCATAAAGATACTTTTGGACAAATATTTTTCGAATGAACAAGAAAATTGCCCTAGTTCTCGTACTGGCGTATGCTGCAATTTTTCGATGCTTTCCTGAGTTCCCTCATTTTTCGTCAGATTCACCTTATTTCTACTTGAAAGATCTTGGAATTCCATACGGATATAGCTTATTTTCGTTTGGAGACTTTAACTCCGATAGATTGTAATTTATATATTCGTTTATATAGTGTTGACCTTGTGTTAGTCGATCTTGCGGCATCAAACATTACCATTTTCTATTGGGATGAGGATGCCCTATTATTTGTTCCTTCTAACATTGAGATTCAGCTTAACGAGCAAATTCAGCCTCAGTCTATTGTCAGCATTGTCCCTTCCGATTACAATCTTGATGGGTTCTTGGATTTACTTGTTACCGTCCACATTCAGCCAAAATCACTACTATATAGCAGCTCTTCTGTTTATAAGCATTTTGTTTACTTTTTTGATGGAGAGGCGTTTAGTAACCCAGTAGCACTACCCGATACCCACGATGAGCTTCTTATACTTGACTATTTCGGGAATATGCATGTTTCATTTTTGGGCATTCCGGGCTTGAGCCCTGAATCAACATCAGGGAATCAAATATCGATATTTACAATTGAAAAAGATTCGGAAGGAAAATTTCTGCCTCAAAGGTAATTACTTCGCGCGCGTATCTTCCATTAGGCAATCCATCGATCCGAAACTAAACAGGCAGTTTTCGACAAATTTTGCCATTCCGAATTCCAATGTATATCTTGATATAAATGGAGATTGTATCCCCGGTAGATTTTGCGCTTTGATGTGTAGATATTGTCATAACAGCGATTGCGGAAAGTCCTTTTATTGGCAGCGACGGATACCCGTATCAAGCCGGAGATAATTACATCGAAGTTTGGAATAGATCTCCACTTAACGGGGAATGGGTTTTGGGAAAACAATTCCATTTTCCGTTTCTGTTTTCTTCGACCTCTTTGCTAGGATATCAAGACATAAGTATGGTCGTGATTTCCATTTTCGCTAGATGGCCGTGGTAGTCTGGACCTCATTTTCATATACCAAAATGATTTGTATATTTTCTTCAACACGCAGCTAGATATTTGTCCGGAAAACGCGGAATCCGCCACGGAGACATGCAAGCCTATAACGAAAAGAAACCAATTTGACCCAAGTTATGGGTACAACTTTTCATTGGATGCCAACAGCCTGGTCCGTTTATGTCGTTGCATTTAATCCTTAGCATTCGGTTGTTATTAAGGGCTCATCTCTGATCGAGAGCTCGAGTTTCAAATTTCTTGTTAGAGATTCCTTCGACCAGCCAATTCCCTTTAAATTTGGTACTGGCTCTGCTTTTGACTTTGTTTTAGGAGATTTTGATTGCGATGGGTATCCAGACTTGCTTGTGTCGTACTCAACAGAATCGGCGTCGTGGACCCATTCTGGCGCAAAAGTGGCCATTTTGCTCAACACACTTTGTACCAATGATTTATGCACTCCGGAACAAACAGAGGCCGGTCTTCGAACATTCATATTCATGTCCGAAATTAACGAAGTGCTATCGAACATCAACGGGGTTACGTCTGGAACTTTCTTCGACATTTTTGATAAGGTATTTGGATGCACATCATGTATTAGGGAATCACAGATCTTTTGTTAAATGTGGTTAACGAAACGGACAATTCCATTTACATTCTGCCTTTGCAGAACAACCATGTGCAAGATGCATTCTTCCTGAAAATGGTTACGCTCAATCCGATGTGTTTCTTGCATTCGGTAAAGGTATGTTTGGCCCGTTTACCAGCTTTTAGCGATACGGGGTCAATTATCCTGGGACCTCATATAAATATGCCAGGATGTATATTTCCGGTAAAATGCGAATCCATGCTTGTTCACAGTACTATCAAACCAGGGGCCTTTCGTTAATGGCACCAAATGTATTTGTCGGTCTTGGAAGGACAAACACCTTTGTTGAGTTCATTGATGTTGGAAAAACGGATCTGAACCTCTCTATAAATTCCGAGGACATTTCCACATGGAAGAGCCTAATTCCAAATTCAAATCTTTTCATTTTTCCTCCGTCTGCAGACCATTCCAGGTATGGCTATGCTTTGACAGCTTTCAGTTGGTATTTAGAGCTACATTTGCATCCGGGAAGACATTTTATATGGATTGTCCTTGCATGGGCATTTTCAATGCTCTCCATTGGCGTAGTAATATTTGTATTAAGAAGACTGGAAAAGGTATGCCATTCTCGGCGGTTTTCTAATTCCTTAGCAAGAGGATCGCAAAAACAAAATACCTTTCGACAAACCCTTTTAATAAACAGCAGAGAATTTCAAACGCGCCCCCAGCTGGGGGCATTTAACTTTAATTGTGTGCTAACGCGGGAACTCCCCGTGTTGTTAAAATTTTTAATGCCCTTTTTTGCTAACCCCCTATGCCTATTCGGAAGATATGTGAATATCTTGTTAAAAATGATCTGAACACATCGACTTCATCAACATACTTGAGTCTCTTTGCTGCTTTTCACAGCAATTTTGGTTGCATATCGTCTGCCGGTCACCCAGAGGTATCTCAATTGCTGCAGGCTTCACTATACAAAATATCAAAGGCCTTTGAAAAACATTCTCATCATGTCTCACCGAACCCGTTGCTTACCGATCTGTTTCAAATTTACACAATCAATCTGCACATTCTGAAGGGCATTCTTTTGCCTGCAAACGGTTTGCAACCATTTGCCGCTCAGACTATTCAACTTTACCATGAGCTTTGTAGGCTCATAATCAATATTCTCGGACACTTGTTTGAAGCAGCGGGGCCAAGCGTAAAGGTAAGTGTTGGACTCTTTCTTTCAATTTCTTTAGCTTTCTTTGGTTGCTGAATCCATTGAGCAAGGTTGTAAGCTTGTGTATTTAATATTGAACCTCAGCATCTCATCGCCCATTCAGGCTGATGCTGACCATTTATCTTATCTGTTGAGTCTTGTGTGTGGGGTCGATATTGGACGTACAAAAGACTCGGCACTATTTCAGTTCACCGTGTCATATCAAATCTACTTGTTACGATACCACTTTGTGCTACTTGAGAGCAATGCCCAATCTCAAAGCAAAGAAGCAATTCAAAATTGCCTGGAACTTGCAAATATTCCGGGTGGTTTGTTTTGTACCGTTCAAGCTTGGAATGCTACCTGTGCACAAAACGTATCGAGCTCGTATATTCGGAACATCATAAGGCTTTACCAAAGGCTTTCCTTTCTAGTTTCAGATTCCACCTCTAAAATATGTCTTTTGTGCATCTCCTTAAAATTCATACAAAGTAGTGACTTGTCTATTGAGAAAGAATTGGATTACTATTTGGTCACTTTGAACGAAATTAGAAATAAAGCACCCCACACTAGCGACACTGCCGTGTCAGAAATCACCGAGTGTGTTTTTTCTTTTTTTGAAGACAAAATTGTCACATATCAGGCGCCACTGAATTGGAGATGGCTGCATTTGTTTGAGTATATTGCTGCATCCACCAATTCTAACAAAGATCGAATACTCAAAAGCCTCAAAAGCAACTCCCAGCATCAACTGATCTCATTTTTACCCTTAATATCTCAATTTGTCTTTAAAATGTATCTTCAACTGATCCTATTCGAAACCTCGCATTGTCCTGCACTTGTATTCCAGTGTGAAAGCTCAGATAGCTCCATGATTGACGACTCTACTGCTTATTTATTGTCTCGCTTTTTTTCTTTTTTCAATTCCGTATCCGATGACCGCTATTTAAAGTCCATTCTTTTTGCTTTGGATTCTTTTCTTGAATCAAGTTCTCTCGTTAGGGACCATTTATCTTCTCCTCACCATTGCCAACTCCTACTAAAGGGTACCTTGATCATGACGGAAACTCTGCATTCCTTTCTAGTGAAAGCCCCTCATTGTCCCGATATTCAAGTCGTTTTGCAAAAGCTCAATCTATTTTTCTTTCGCATTGCCAATAAGGATTCATCAATAGACATGTGCGAGGGCTATTTTAAGAGACTTTTACTAGTGTAAGAATTACGGGTTTTACTTTTCATAGGATTACAAAGCTATACTCTGCCTCGACTGTGGTTCCCAACTTGACCTCTTTTTTAGCCGATGTGATTTTTCAAAATTCCTGCCTTGCCAATAGGATTTTGGATAATTTAGACTTTTCAAAATCCCTTAGTTTCTGTTTGATCGAAGAATTGAAGATTTCAAAGGAACATTTAAGATTCTTCATTTACTCGCTCTCATGGATCACCGATTTTAACCTGCTTGAAAAGCTATTCTTCCATGCATCTTCTATCTCTTGTTCAAAGATCTCCCCCAACAATCCTGTAATCCTGAGCGGTGCTCTTCAACACCTTTCGCTCAAGATGAGAAAATTTCTAAGCGCCAAGCATTGCAATTCAACCACGTTGTATTTAAAGATGCTAATGGAATATTTCGATCTCAACTCCAGCCTTTATTTTGAAGACAAGTTTATTTTTACCATTCTCTTCTCGTATTTTTTGATAAATTTGGAGTGTAATTTGTCTTCCTTTTCCAGCGATACTCAAAGATCTGCATATTGTAAGGCCCTAACGTATTTGCTGGAAATCTTTCACGATAACATCAAGCTGCCCGCTCGGGATTCCTTTTTCCAGGCACTTTTTTCTTTTGCCTTATGCACAGTTATGATAAGAATCAAAAAAGACGAGTCCTTCGTCACTATCATTTCTACATCCGCATACAAATCGTGTCATGTATTGCTACTTGAACACTTGGCTGCTGCTTCAGAAGTACGAATCCCATCTAAACTCGATGTTTTGTCCGATATTTTACAAGATCTTTTGGCGCTTCTTATTGCTTCATTTAGATTGGAGGGCGACTCTGAACTCTCCTTTTTGCTCTTTAATTGCTTGAAAGACACAAATTGTAGAAATACGCTTTTGTTTGCCTCAATACAAGGACACATAAATTCAGAATGTTCAGCAACGTGCAACCAGCAAATTGAAAATGTCTTTCCTTTTGCAGATAGGCTCGAGTATTTCCATCCTTCTACCTCTTGCAATCATCACGATCCCGATTCTCTTTTTTCGCTTCTTAAGTGCTTTGCAGAGCTAAGTGAAAAGCTTTCAAACAGTCGCCATAATGATCATGCTGTCAATTCGAGGCTGATAAGACTATCGAACCAATGGCATCGTCTTGCTGCCTTTTCTTCAATTTGCTATCGAATTAGTAATATCTTTTTATCGCTTGGAGACTGTCGAAATGCCCTATACTTTTCCAAGGCTGGGCTTACAAGAGAAACAAGCGTACTTCTTTGTCAAATTAACTTTTCCACACAATATGGAGGATACCTAGCTTCACAAAGAGAGCTCGAATTTTTGTTTCTTATCTTCAAATTAGATCAATTGATTCTTGGAACGGCAAATGTCAATGTGGGCCCTATACAATGGAACCGAGTAGTGTGTCCAAATTTCTTGTCATCAGATGATACAAGCGCCCTCAAGAAATTGTACAAAACATTTGGATGCTTTTCCACCAGGAGATCTCAATTA